CACCCCCCCCCCAGATTCCCTCAGTTCTCACCAAATCCCCCTAACTCCCCTCCCCACACACCCAAACCCCTCCTCATCCCTGTGCAGACTGATCCCATTTGGGACCCCACTCTAGGACCCCCAATCTTGGGGGCTCCCCTGCTTTGGCGGCTTCGGGGTTGTCCCCCCGCAATGTCCCGCCCTCGTGTGACATCACTGTGTCCCCCCAGGGCCCCATGGGACCCCGCGGCCCTCCCGGCCCCTCTGGCTCCCCCGTAAGTATTGCCCCTCTCCTCAAGTTTCGGGGTGTCCGGGCTGGCTGGTGCCACCCCCGCTGATGTCACCTTGTCCCTGCAGGGTCCCCAAGGATTCCAAGGCAACCCTGGCGAGCCCGGCGAGCCAGGCGCTGCTGTGAGTGCCCCCAGATGTCCCCAAAACCCCTCAAATCGGGGCACTGCCACCCCCTAGTGCCCCCCACCGCCACCTCTTTGTCCTCTTCAGGGTCCGATGGGTCCCCGGGGACCTCCGGGACCTCCTGGCAAGCCCGGTGACGACGTGAGTGACATTTGTGACATTCAGCTGCGGTGGCAGCCACCGAAGCTGGGCTGAGAAGGGGCAAAAAGTGACATTTTTGTGTCCCCAACCCCTCAAAAATCCCATTTTCCCCGCAGGGCGAGACAGGCAAACCCGGGAAATCCGGCGAGCGCGGCCCCCCCGGCCCCCAGGTGAGCGTGGCACCGGTGGTCCCGCGACAAAGCCACTGCTGTCCCCTTCCTGTCCCCAACTGTCCCTTCTCCACTGCCCGCAGGGCGCTCGTGGCTTCCCCGGGACCCCCGGCCTGCCTGGAGTCAAAGGCCACCGGGTGAGTGTGCGTCCCCTGCCCGTCCCCGTGTCCCTGTGTCCCCCGGAGTGGCTCTGTCATTGTCACAGCCCCGCCTTGTTCCTGTCCTCAGGGCTACCCCGGACTGGACGGCGCCAAGGGAGAGGCGGGGGCACCCGGAGCCAAGGTGAGGGGGGGTGACAGCTCCTGGAGCTGGGGACAGTTCCCTGCCTGTAGTGACGACCCCTGTGCTGGGGTGACTGTCCCCTGGCTCTGGTGACCGTCCGTGTGACACCAGGGGACCGTCCCCGTGCCCACCCCGTGCTCACCTTTGTCCCGCCCCGCAGGGCGAGTCCGGCTCCCCGGGCGAGAACGGCTCCCCCGGCCCCATGGTGAGTGCGGCGCTGCGAAAGGGAAACTGAGGCACGGCCGGGTGGGCTCAAGGAAGGGCCAGCACCCCCCGGGCCTCACCTGTCACCCTCTGTACCCACAGGGTCCCCGCGGGCTGCCCGGAGAGCGAGGCCGTCCGGGCCCCTCGGGCGCTGCGGTGAGTGCGGTGGCACCTACGGTGCTGG